CATCACAGATCAGAATAAATCTGCGCTGTCATCTAAGCTCATATATAAATATTAAGTCTAATTCATTTCCTTTAACATTGTATGTAAAGATCTGAAGCACACTCACACACCAATTTCAAGAAATAAACCCCCAAAGTCAGTCTCATGCACTCGCTCACACTCGGTGTGCACAAAACAGCCCAGTGAAGACTAACCTCACCGTTGAACGTGCCGGCATGAAATAGCACACTTTGGTATATGACAGCACTCACTTGGTCATCTGCAATAATTTAGTGCAATCCACTAAAATAAGCAGAACAGGTAAATATAAAGACCAAAAATTAGTGGACAGACAGACAGACGGATGGATGCAAAGGCAAACAGGGTGGCTATGGTCGTTACTGAAATGCCAGTATATTCACACATTTCCTGCATTAAATATCTCAGTGCATTACAGCAGCAACAGCAAATACTATTGAGAACTCTGCCCCTTGCCTCTCTAATGTATGCCATAAAGGTCTACAAACACTCTCCTGCAGAGTGTTTATAAAACAAAGGAAAACGTTTCCAAACAGGACCATTTTCTATTAGAAAACATTAAAAATGACAGTTGCTCAAAGTAAACAATAGAGTGTTCCTGTCATCCATGGGAAGCCAGGCAGGGGCAACCTCTCAATTTTTATTAACAGGTCAGAAGAGTTCAAAAGATCATATTAAACCCAAACCTCAGGCACACTGAACTCTCTCCTGTGATATGCAACGGGAATATTCCTTCCCCATAAATCTGCATGCTAATCCGGAGCGTTTATTAAAGATGTGTATTTCATTTCTGTGGAGTAGATCACGTAACTTCTTGGCAAAGGCAACGGCATTTTTTTTTTCACTAACTGTTAAAATTCCTTGTGTAAGTTTAAACAGCCCTTTCGAGCAAACAAAGCAGTGTCAGGAATCACAGATCCATCGCTGCAAAGTGCGCTGAGCCCCATCCCTGTGAACTCATTTCAACACCCTCACTACATAAAACCCGTTCCAATCACACGCTGCCTGCAATGATATTTACGTGTTTGAAATGCCTCACAAGGGGTCCAACAAACTCAGTCTCAGTAACACAACCAGTCCCTTGGTAAAGCCTCCAACAGAATGTAGCAGTATTTAAAATAAAAGCACACAGCTTTTATTAACTGCAAACATACTACAAACATAGTAGGAAGAGAAAGAAAACAAAGGCTCCTCGCTGCATCTGGACCAAACCTGACCTTTGTTAATGTATTTGGTGGTAATTTACAGACATTCCACAATGGCCTGTGGGCTCATTCAAGGGGTAGGTTCAGTGTTACAATGAAATATTAAAAAAACCTCAGAGATGGAAACTAACTGTGCTGCACACTGCCCGTGCCCATCAGACTCGGACAGACGAGCCCCATGGCCACCAAGGTACTGAACACATTCTGATCTTTTCCAATCGGCACCTGCATGGCTCTGGGTTACACAGGGACATCTTCACCTGACATCTGCAGTATGGGACCATTAAAATTTCAATTGAAAAACTATAAACACCCCCCCCCCACATACACACTTGATTACTGGGCTTCTAGAGAACACTGATCAACACTGCACTGAAGGGGAAATTGTTCTGGTTCAGTCAAATCAGGCAAAGCAAAAACCCATTAAATTGGCCCTGGGTTTTTAAGTGAATTTGATCTGGTTATTCTTTGTCAGCTAGAGCTGCGATTCTGAAGTCAACACAACCTCTCTGGACTCAGTGTTATTGTACCTCACTCCCAGCTCTGGCTGCACAGCAGAGGAAGACCTGAAATCCTAGAAAGCATCTTTCTTGGGGGGGGGGGGGGGGGGAACACGACGACAACAACAACGACAAAACCAACAAACAACCCAAAACCAAAACAACCCAAACTGTCAGCCACTTCACATAAAACCGTTAGTGCGAGTTGTGTATCCGAGAGAACTCCTCATGGAAAATTCACATTTTAGCAAAGACCAACATCCAGCCAGCATTAATAACGTTAAATTCAGACACAAAATGTGCACACTCACACACACAGCTCGCTAAATGGTGTCAGTGTGGACACATAACACAGACACCTACAGCACGGTGCCTGCTTCCAGCCACCTTCCAACCCCACAGCTGGCACAGGTTGCCAGGTATGAGCAAACCCTGTTAATGCCAGCAGGAGAAAAAAAAGACGAGCTGTAAGGAACGTGAGCAGCCACTACCCAACTCAGACAGGTTGTATCCCCCGTAATCCGGGCAACAGCCGAGTATTTGGAAAGCTCCCGATCCGCCGTGGTCTGGGAGCTTCCCGTGCCAGCTGCCCCCCCCCACCGGCACCGCACCGGTTCCCTTCTCCGGCTCCACGGAGGAGCGCGGTGGGAATGGGGCCGGACGCGCACGGAGCGCTCCGCCGAGGGACGCCGCTCGCCGCCGCCCGTGCCTGCGTGCCCCGAGCCGCCGGTGCGCGGCAGGGCCCCACCAGGAGCCAATGGCCCCGCGCGTTCCTCCGCCACGGCAGGTGGGACTGAGCACCCGCCGCCAGCGGCTGCGTGAACCTGGGGCTAACGACCAGCCTCACCCTCCGTAACAGCGCACAGCGCGGCGAGCGGGGAGCAGCTCTGAGCGCGGTCAGGAGCTGCTGGGGATTAGGGGAAGTGCTGCCCGCTGCCTGCGTTCACCCTGCCCGTGTACACCGGGGAGCTGCTGGACGCAAATCCCCGCCGGCCAAAACGCCTTAAAACCTAGGTCACTGGATAAATAAAGCCTTGCCTGCAACGCACTTTCAAATACATAGGGGCACAGCAACGTGAAGTTAAATTATTCCTACCAGCAGCCTGTTCTTTTTCACCTATTGTATCTTTATCACTTCCAAAACCAGTTAATTATCTGCTGGTCGTTATGAAATTCCTCATCCGAAGAACCAGCCCATTCAAATCCTTCAAGTGACTAAAGTGTGAAAGAAAATGAGTGCCTCTCTGCATTGTTGTAAAACTGGTTGCTATTTTATGTTAAGCCTCCGAAACACTAAAACATATCCTTATATAGGAACACTGATTAAATGGTTTTCCTTCCAAGTGACGAACTATTTTAACAGCAACACTGTGGTTATCGTGACCAGAAAGCAATTACTTATTTCACTAGATGTTACTAAGAATAGTGGTGATCAAAGTGAATGTAGGAGTGCTGCTAAAGATGTTAAAGAAAGCATCACTCCATATGACACACATACACAAAATATACATGATTTTAAGCCAAATTACATATTTAATAAACGTGCTGCTCAGGATTAAATCACTTCTCAGGATTATTTTTTTTTTACCCGAAGTTACTCTTTAAAAATCTATTTCTAAACAGAGCACGGTGTGCGGCTCTGCAGATCTGTATGCGTGTGTGAGTGCACACATAACGGGGTGTGTATGTATTGTGAGAGAACGTATATATGTGTTCGAGTCTGCCAAGGTAGAAGTGACAGGAACTGTGATTTGTGCTAACTAGCTATTGATCCAGTCAGATCTAGATGTTGTGTACAAGAAACAATAAAAGAGAAGGGGCCAGGAAGGATGCTGTGTGCAACTCCATTTAAAAATGGAAAAGAAGGGCCCCAAACAAACCAATTTATGTCCTTGCCTGGGTGAAGCATGGAGAATGCTGATGGGCTTCCCAGAGTCTGCTGTGCATGCTAAACACTCCCGCTTGAAATGAGAGGCTCCTGCACTGGGCATTAAGCATGAACAAAGAGACAAACCGTGGGGGCTAGGATTCACGCTTCAGACAGCCAAAGCTGGAAAGCCAACCAGAACCGGGGGTAGGGAATCGCCCAGTTTTCAAACCAGCTCCCTCCTGATTTTCCCAACACCTTCCTTAGCAAAATTACTAAACGCAGAGGACTGTAAAATTCAGTCTGTGCCACCAGCTGTAATGAAAACCATTTCAAACTACCCGAGTGGCACCAAACCAGCAACTTTCCTAGGCACAAATAATGAGTTTATATCGCGTAAATTACACACGTGTACCTAGAGCACATCAGAAATTGCCGCCGTGTGTCCACGCAGCAGCACGTGCACTTGCACCTATTGTAATATTCACCCACATGGTCAGGCAGTTGGGAAAATAGGGCTTTGATAAGATAAAATAGAAGCCAATTGAATCTATAAGAATCTTTTATCTCAAACAGCTTTTCTAATAGAGGACTTTCCATTAAAATATTTTTTTTTTCCTGAGCGTGGGGAATTATGATGCCCTCTGGACACGGGGAAGGATCAAAAATGACAACTAATGTTGAAATTAAACATCTGTCAACTAAGCAAGTTTTCTACCAGCAGAGCCAGAGCCTTGTTTTAAATTGCCTTTCTATTAAAGAAAAAGAAATTATTATGTTAAGAGCCTTTCAGCTCAGTATTGCACTGCTGGAAGGCTTCTACTGCAAGCAGGGAAACACCTGGAACCGGGGGGGACAGCACCACTCCCAGCATGGCTGCACAGCTCAGGAAAAGCCCTCTGACAGATTGGGGGAACTGGCTGGAAGGCTTGGCCAGTGTGGGGCTTGAGGAGCTCCCCCCCACAGCACCCCACACCCACATGACTCTGTGGGGAGCCCCCTCTTCGGTGCCCCATGAGCGGGAGCATGGCTGGGTCTTCACCCGGAGCCCCCTGCTCAGCACCCTGAGACCCCACGCCAGCCCCTCGGGGGGAGAGGGGGTATCTCCTCCCCAGAAGGTGTGATGGGGATGATGATGGCAGAGACATCAGAGGCAAGCATCACCGGGTGCTGGTTGAGCAGCAGGCACTTCATCCCTGCCGCTGCCCCCCCCAGTACAGCCACCAGCATCCCATGCCCCAGCCTGGTGCAGGAATGCGCCTAGCACCCACTGAGGTCCCCACCATGGGTCTGGGGCTAGCATGTGCCCAGCATTCCAGGGCCAGAGCTCTACCATCTACCACCTCCCCTTCCCCGAGCAGCACACTATCCCCCCTCTGTGGGCCAGCACCCGTATGGGATGACGGATACCTTCTTTGCTGGGATTCGGGGGCTTGGGCTTCTCCCAGGGCACCATGGGCTTGTCCTCCTCCTGCCCTTCCATCAGGGCCTTCTCACCAGGCAGGTACCAGGTGGAGTTGTGCTCCGCCATGAGGGAGTCCAGGTCGATGGTGCTCATGGGGCCCTTGACGCCCTCTGAGCAGCAGCTGCCCAGGTCGCTGTCCCCGTTCTGCCCTGCGCACTCCCCCTTCTTGCTCTTCAGCCCCAAGGGCTGGTCTTCCGAGATGCTGAACTGCTGCCGCTGGAGCTGGATCTGCGCCTGCAGGATCTCCAGGGGGTGGATCTCATCCTGGGCCGAGGTGCTGGTGGGGGTCCGCACCTGCTCCATGCTCGGCGTGCCAGGGTGTGCGCCCGCTGTGGTGCTGAGCCCATAGCTGTCAGGGGTCGAGGTAGACGTACTGAGGAGGCCAAGGGCCAGGGGCTTCTGTCCGTTGAGAAGTGCGTGCTCCCCACGGGGCAGCTTGGGCGAGCCGCCCAGCAGCGGGCTGCGGGTGGGCTTGGAGGCGGCGTTGTCGGAGCTGGAGGACACCTCGTCCTCATTGCCGTAGCTGGTGCTGACCTCGTCGGGAAAGTCCACGTGCGGGGAGCTGCCGTCCGACTTGGTCACGCTCTGGATGCCGCTGTCCAGGGAGGACATCAGGTCGGGCTGCTCCGCCAGCAGCAGCTCGCCGCCCTTGCCCCAGGATGGCGAGGTCAGGGGCTTGTCATGGGGGGTGCCCCCACCACGCTCTGTGCCCGCGGCCCCCGGCGGGCCCCCCGCGGCCGCCGGCTGCCCCGGGCTGACACCGGCCCCGCTGCCCTCGGTGGCCGAGAACTTCTCGAAGAAGGTGCCGGGGCTGACGTGCCCGCTGTCCCGTTTCCGGCGGCCCCGCCCCCGCCCACCACCCGCCTTCCCCTCGCCGCCAGCCGCCGGCTCCAGCGCGAAGCCGGGCGAGAGGCTGCTCTCGGCGGGCAGCAGCGGGGCCGTGCCCGGCGCCTTGCCTGCGGCTCCCCCACCAGCTGGCGGCCCTGGTGGGAAGTAGTCCTGGGCGGCAGGCGGCGGCGGGTCGGGCTCGGCCTGGCTGAGCTTGCGCTTGGCCTCGGCCGGGCTCTTCTTGTTGAAGGTGACGTTGAGGTTGGGGGCACCCAGGCTGGCGATCATGTTCTGGCAGGCGGTGGAGAGGGCGGCCAGGCAGCTCTGCCCGAAGACGTTGTCCTTGCTGGCCGGCTTGCTGAAGGAGCCCAGGGAGAGGGCGCCCAGCTTGCTGGCGGCGGGCCGCGGCGGCGGTGGTGGGGGGAACTCGGACGGGGCTGGCGGGTACGCGCCTGGCGAGGCGCTGAGCGCGGGCCCAGCCCCGTGGGCCGCTGGCTGCCGCGCCGCTGCCGCGAAGGGGAAGCCGGGCTGGGCAGCGAAGTCAGCAGGGCCACGGCGCTCGGCAGGTGCACTGGGCAGTGCCACGCCACCGCCCGGCGACTGCAGCTGCGAGAGGCCACCCATGGCAGGCGCGAAGGGCTGGTGGACGCCAGGAGAGGGCAGGGCCTGTGCTGGTCCCTCGCCTGCCATCCGCAGCGGCTCCTGCAGCCCCAGCCCGCTGGCGCCCGGCCGGAACAGCACGGCAGTGCTGCCCGGCTGTAGACCCAGCTCGTGGGGGGCCGCCTCGGCCGGCAGCCCCGGTGCCGCCATGCGCCGTGGCAGCAGCTCCCCGGGTGGCGGCGGCCCCGCAAACCAGGCGCTATCGGGGGCCAGATGCGGTGCTGGCGGGTCGAAGCCACGGCCGCTGCTGGCCTCGCGCTCGAAGGCAGGCGGGGGCAGGCCGCTGGGCGGGCCCACCTCACCGTGGTGCCCCAGCTGCTGCAGGCTGGGCGGCCGCAGGCGCTGCTGGCTGCGCGAGGCCATCTGCTTCATCACCAGCGCCGCGTTCTGGCGCTGCGCCAGGGCCGGGTGCTCGGGGCCACCATGTGGCAGCGGCCCCCCGAAGGCCTCGGGTGCCGGCGGAGTGAAGTCGCCAGGCAGGCCGGGGTAGGCCGTTGGGGAGAGGTGGCTCTCCATGGCTGGGCCATGCATGCCGCTGCCCCAGGAGGTGCAGCGCTCGACGCCAGGGTTGCCAGGGAAGTCGAACCGCGGCCTCTTGGCGACGCTCACGTAAGGGGCATCGAAGTGCTGCAGTCTTTGATTTGGTGGCTGTGGCGGAGGAGGGTGCTGCATATTAAACACGGGGTCGGTGTAGGGATGCATATTCCTGTTCTCCAGTCTGTGAATAGGGTATTCAAACTGTGCATGCTGGTTCTGCATTATGGGCCCATTGTCCTGCAGGTTGGGGTTGGGAGCGTTGGCTTCTGTTTGCTGTTGCCTAGGGATGGCTGGCGGGCAGGAGTTCTGTCTGGCCAGCAAGCCCGGCGGCGGCTGCTGCGGCGGTTGCGGTGGCTGCTGCTGCTGCTGCATCAGCGGGTGCCTGGCGCTGGCCCCCGGCTCCAGGCTTGCGGACATCTTCCGCGTCCCCCCAAAGCGCTCGAAGAAGACGCCGTGCTGCTGTGGCGGGTGCGCCTTGGCCACGGCCATGCCCGGTGCTCGAGGCAGGGCGGGTGCTCCGGCGAAGTTGCCGCCCGCTGGCACCTGCCGCCCGCCACCATAGTGCGGCAGCTGCCCCTCGGGCTCCGACGGTGAGAACACGGGCAGCTCGAAGTGGCCGGCGGGGCCGTCGCCAGGGTAATTGTATTCCAGCGAGTCCACGCTGCCCTGCGCGGGCAGCCGCCGCTGCTCCAGGCCGTGGGGCTCGGAGGAGCCGGCCGCCGGCAGCCCGTGGAAAGAGGCTGCGCGGTTGGGGGACTGGTCGAGGGGCAGGCAGGGAGCCGGCACTGCGTGGCTGGAGCCGCCGGCGCTGTGGTGCTGGAAGTCGGGCAGGTTCCCGGGGCGCTGCTGCCCGAAGCCCTCGCCTCCCTGGCCGTCGGCCATGTGCTCGTAGCCGTCGGCGAACGCCGTCTGCCCGCCCAGCGCGCCGCTGTAGCCCAGGAGCCGGCCGCCGTGCACGCAGGAGGCGCCAGGGTCGGGCCCGAAGTTACCGCCGAAGTGCGGGGGGTGCTGGTGCGGGTGGTGGCCGCCGCCGTGGCCGCCGTGCGCCGTCTGCCCGCCGAAGAAGCCGTGCACCGGCGGCTGCATGCCGCCGCCGTGCAGCTCGGCGGGGCCGCGGCCCGGGAACCCGTAGGCGTCCGCGGGCAGGCTCATGTTCATGCCCAGGAGGGGCGGCTCTCCCAGCGCGCCCAGGGCCGGGTCCACCGCCGCCGCTGCCGCCGGGCCGCCACCGGGGAAGGCCGGCGCCTTGAAGTGCGCGCTCATGCTCAGTCCGGGCTGGCCGAAGCCCCGCTCCGCCTGTCCGCCGCTCCGGCTGCTGCTCTGCGGCTCGAACTGCTCCAGCCCGAACATCCTGCGCGGCTCCTCAGCAGGGCATGGCTGCTCCGCTCCGCCGTCCCGCTCCGCGATGCTCGGCCGCCCCGCTCACATCCTGCCGCGCCTCCGCGCCGCTGGCATCGGCCGCCCGCCCGCGCTCGCCCCGGCGGCTCTCCGCTAGCTGCCCCCCCTGCGCTGCGCTGCCCGAGAGCCGACGGGGCGGCGTGCCGCCGCTCATAGGCTCCGGCGTCCCGGAGCTGTGCGCCGCATCGCCGGCCCGCCGTGCGCTGCCCGCGGTTCGCAGGGCTCCGGCGGCGGCAGCGGGGCCGTGGCGGCGGGGCCGGCGCTGCGTGCGGGCGCTGGGAGGGCTGCGCCGCGCTCCCCGCCGCGCTCCCTCGCTCTCAGCCGGCGCTGGCGGAGCAGCAACAAGTTTTGCATTTCAGCGATGAATTTCAGCCATCGGGGCTGCGCCAATGAGCGCGCGCCGCCCGGGGCGGGGCTCGCCGTTAAGGTGGCTCCGCCGCCGGCCCGGCCCCGCGCCCCGCCCAGTGCCGCCGCCGCCGCCGCTGCTCCCGCGGAGCCCTGGGAGCGGGAGGCGCAGTGGCCGGAACCGACCGGCGGGACCCGGCCCGGGGCGCTCAGTGCCGCCCTCCCCTCCCCGCCAGCCCGGGGCAAGGAGCGGTTCAAGCGGCCCCGGCACTGCCCGCGAGCCCCCGGCTCGCCCCGTCGGGCCCGCCCGGGCCGGCAGCCGGAGGGGAGCCGGGAGTTAGTGGCAGCGGGGAAGTCCGAGCCCAGGGTACCCGTGGGGACAAACCCCCCTCAGGTCCGGGGCACCGAACCTGCCGGCGGGATGAGGAGCGGCTCGCACAAGCGGTGGCGTAAAAAAAAAAAAAAAAATGCCAAAAATGAAAATTACTGCCACCAAAAAAAAACCGGGATCTATAAATAAGCGCCCGCCCGGTGTTTGTATATGGCAGGAGAGTTTTAAGGGGATTTTTTTTCTGCAGGATCAGGATGCTGCGCTGTGATTAAATATTGATTTTGTGTAATTAGTTTTCATGTGAACTATCCTCCTTGCTGATGGCTTGGAGATTTCAGAACTCGAGAAGAAATGGAATTGGACATGGAAATTATTACTTAGCAAAGTGACGGGGGGGCCGCGGGGTGCGGGGCTGGCAGCGGGGCACGGAGCGGACAGCGCGCCGCCCGACAGCGGCACAAAGGAACGGGGGCTGGAGGGGGGATGTCCCGCTCCATCGCAGAGGGAACGGCGGCCACGGGGGCGAGGGGGGGAGAGTAGGGAAGGAGAACGGGGGGGAGAGAGGAGGAGGGAAGAGGAGGGGGGAGAGGGCCGCCGGCCCCTCTGCCCATTTCCCCGCAGCGCCGCCGCGCCCCGCACCGACCGCGGCCCCGCGCCCAGCTCTGCGCCTGCGTGCGCGCCGTCGGAGCCAGCTGTTCCGAACGGGCACAGCGCCCCCTGGCGCCCGCCGCACCCCCGCGCGGGCCGGCGGCTGCCAGTGACCTGGGGAGCCTCGACGGCGGAGGCACCGGGACCAGGCTGGTTTGGGTTTGGAAGGGACCTTAAAGCTCCTCCAGTTCCGTCCCCCTGCCACGGGCAGGGACCCCTTCCACTGGAGCAGCTTGCTCCAAGCCCCTGTGTCCAACCTGGCCTCGAACACTGCCAGGGATGGGGCACCAGCTTGCTTCTGAAAAGACAGATATTTACTGATTTAGATTTACCTTGCATTTCATGGAAGATTCAGAATCTGCCTGTTCCTTGAGCAGAGCCAGCACAGTCTCTCTGTAAGAGCAGAATAATACCGTGAAGGAGAGTGCAGTTAGCAGGATGGAGACATCCACAGGCTGACCGTCTCGGGTGCTTCTGGGCAAGCGCAATCACTCCTCTCTCCTTTGTTCTGGTCCTTGCCAGGACCAACAGCATGCTCCTTCACCGGAGAGCTTTTCTGCTCCTCTGCTGTGGGCTGAGGCTATGCTGCCTTCCAGGGGCAAATTTTAAGGCTGGAAGTTCCAGCACTGTAACACACCAGCAGCTGAGATGAGTGAAGTGATAAGGTCCTCCACCAGACCAGCGCTGTACAGGCTCCATTACTATCTGGTAACATTTCTAAACATTCATGATTTGTTAATGTCGCTAACGTTTGTAAACGTTCACTATTCATAAGCATTCACTGTTTGTTACTGTCCAAGGGTGCTCTGGACTAAACACACCCCGGGGCCACGGACCTCCTACGTCCTTCTCAGCCTTCAGCACAGAGCTGGGGAGCCCTAGGATGGGACGAGCACCATGGGAGCACTTTGGTCCAAAGGGTCACTCTCACCCAGCCAACAGAAGGAAACCTCTCAATTGTAGTGAGTAGTGAAAAGCCCATTTTACAAAACATTTTTACTTTCAGTCTTTGGGTTCTGGTCATCCTGGGAAGCAGGGAAAGGCATTATTTAAATAGTTGTAGCCGCAGGGGATCATTTTCTAAATTAACAATAGTAATTGCCTCTGCCAAATCGAGAGTTGAGGGGGTTCATTTCTTTCAGCCCTCAAGACAATAGCACTATTCGGGGTTTCATATTGCAAGCTCTGAAAACCAAACGGTGATGTTCTAAAAAAATAATAATGCAAACGGCACCAATTGCTGAGCTGGACCCTGCTCCCGCCACCGGGGGCCCGGGGACCTCGCACCCCGGAAAGGCTGCTCAGCAAAAAACTCCTTTTTAACAGAATGAATGCATCATACATAAAACATGGCGGAGCGCACAATTAGTAAGCAAATGTAAGAGTTCAGCTCAGTTCATAATTATTCAGCAAACCTATTCAGAATTATTTTTTTCTCCCTGCAGCAATCAACTGTGTGGGCTCATTACCACTGAGGATCTAAGGAAGAAACCACCACATAAACTGCACAAAACAAGCCCAGATGCTGGAAAAGCTTCAGCCCAGCTCACCATTAGCAAAGGGCCTTTTAAACCCATCCATCGAGCAAAACCACATCTTACTTCTCAGTGGTGTTTATACCCCTGCTCTATAAAGACACCATTTCATTAATGTGTCAGGCCTCAGGTATATAAATTTGAGCTCCTAAATAACCTCTGCAGTGCTGGGGAGCGCAGCCATCTGGAACAACACAAAAAAGCCTTTGGTTGCCACTACCTGTCGCACAGCTGCCGAGGCGATGAGTCCTGCCTTCAGAGCACGGGCTCCCACCAGTTACTTTGCAGGAAAGCCAATGGGTTTTTCCTTGCAGGGATTTTCAGTGAACGGAGACTGAACGTTCCGAAGGACAGGTTCCCGAGGCTGGCGGCTGGCATTATGGGGAAGGTGCTCAACATTCCTGCCTGGAACAGTTCAGGAAGCTATCGCCCCTTCTCCCTCTCAAAACTACAGCAGACACAGCGGCCGGACTGACTCAGAAGGCAAATCTGCAACACCATCACATGAGCTGGACAGTGCAGTGAGCACAGAGCCGGGTCAGGCAGCAGATCAGATGTTCCTCCCGAGGACAAGGGGTCTATTTGCATGCTCCTGCTCACTTCCTGAGAATGGTGCAGAGCTTTGGTTGTGGAATTGCTCTGCTCCGGCAGGGTGCAGGCCCCCGGGGTCTGACCTGCTCCACTGCTTCTTGTCCTTCCCCATGCGAGTGGCTGGGGGCGGCTGATATTGAACTGAGATTGAAGACAATTTCACCTGTAAAACCGATTAGTGCCCATACAAGGTCACCATACTGATGTAAATATTCCCCTCTCAGTCTCGCCACCAATGTTCTGGAAATTTCTGGGAACTTCGACCCAAATTCCTTCAGGCACTCGACTGCTTCCCATTTTGAAAAAATGCATGACTGAATAATAAGAGTTAAGGCACTAAAACTGTTCCAGTTGTTTCCCGCAGAGACCACCAGTGGTTTCGGAGCTTGGCCCTTCACAAGGGTTTTCCGGGCTGTTCTTCTGCAAGGCTGATTGCCTGCTTCACTTCCTTCACAACTCTGAAGCGGTGTATTTCCCTGTTGGGGTTTCCAGGTGCCCCAGTATGGACCATGGTATTTCCACAATATCGGTATGCTTTTCCATTGCTGCAAAGAGCATCTTTGTATCACGTGAGTACACCGGGTCCCACTTACGTCAGTTCAGTGGAAACCCTTAGGGCATACGCAGCACTCAGGTGTACATGTAGAACACACTGATCTTTTTCTAATTTAGATCACAAAACCCAAGATAGTGCTAAAGTAACACAACACTGGATTGTCCAGTTAGGAAAAATGCTAGGAAATGCTGAAGCAAATTTTCCCATCTATAACAACTGTGTAACAGAATATACTTCCTGGGCTTTTTGCTCCCCTTCAAATTCCCATCTCTAAAAAACACACTGTAGGGCTACACACAGGGCGGGGGTGGCAGAAATTAGGTCATATTTACAGCACAAAAGAAAAAGTTTGGCTGCAGGAACAGTAGAAGTTTTATATTTCCTAAAATAACTCTGTGAAACCTAAATAAAAGAAGTGCCTCTGTCAGGATAATCTGCATTTAACTCTCCTCGGCATTTTACGAGGGGGTTTGTATGACTGACTTTGTTCTGTTGTTTTCTTAAACTTGAACCAGGTGGGAATTTAGGTAAGTGTGGTGGAGCAGGAATGATCTTTGAGCATCTGGAAAGTCTGGCTCCCAGTGGGCAATGCCAGCAAACCACTAGTGTTAATTCATTCTTCTTCATCTTATAAATTAAACTATTGTGAAGGGAGAGAACCAGGGGGTATTTTGTAGGGTCCTGATGACTTCATTTTCCCTCAGTGTTAGCTTCATGAGGGCATTCATTCACCTTAGCACTTCCTTTCTACATCCTGACGTCCTGTGACATCCACAAGCAGCGTTTCCAAGTCCTTCCCAGCATTTGAAGCCTCCGGGCAAACAGATACTCCTGTATTTATTATTGGTCATGCTACCTCATGAGATTTACAGAGAAACTCATGTTTCTGAGCAATTGGTGAACCTTGGCTCATAGCTCCGATTTGTCAAGTTCAAAAACCAGTGCCTCTGCCCATGGGAGCTGGTGAAGTGCATCCCAAAGACAGCAATGCTGGGTCTGGCAGCATCCGGGGTGCAGTGCTGAACCCCACAGCCAAAGGTGCCCGTGCACCTCTGCCAGGGACCCCAGCTCCTCTCTAGGTCTTCTCACAGGGCTGCATTTCATCCATAGAGGTTGCTGTTTGCTTTTCCAACAGGAATCACACCAGTGATGGGTACACCACTGATGCTGCAGTCCTGGGTA